GGCAGTGCATGATCCGCGCCTGGGACACGCCCAGTGACCAGAGGACAAGAACTAGTGTGCTCCATGCCAGATACACGTGAATGAGCTGCAAGGATATGGGGTGGAGATAGAGGTGAAGAGTGCAAGAACAGGCAGAGGTGAGGAATGAGCGGATAGGAGAAAGAGAAACAAGAGGACAAGGACCAGAGTGCTCCATGCGAGATACACGTGAATGAGCTGATGGGTTATGAGGGGAAGGGGGGGAAAGGGTAGCGAAGGAGGTGAAGGGTGGGTGGAGGAAAAGGCAGAGGTGATGAATGGGGACATAGACGGAAGAGGGTCAAGAGGATCAGAGGACAAGAACTGGAGCGCTCCATGCCATAACATGTGGATGAGCTGAAGAGGTTAGGAGGGAAGGGAAGAGCAAGGGGTTGCGTTGCATAGGGGACAACATGGGGAGATGGGATGGATGAATTAGAAGAGATAAGTGTGAAAGAAGAAGACACGGATTGACTTGAATCTGTAAGCTCAAAATGTAATCGTACAACAAATCTAGAGAGAAAAAGTGGACACTGGATTTTGACACATCATGCCTTGGTTTCAAAAAGAATACACTACAAATGAACTCACCACGATGTAAGTGTTGACGGCTGACGGCAGGAGCTCACTAAGAGCAGCCGGCACGTGAGAGATATATGATGAAATGCTGAACGGCAATTTGGACTGAGCGGTTGCCTCCCCCTTGTCTGTAGCAGCTGCCTCATGTCCTAAACATGTGGTGGTCTGGATAAAGAGTCATCAAGAAAAAAAACAAACAAAAAACAATGAATGCACACAGAGAATCCAGAGCGAGGGACTGATTAAGCCAACGAACTCCAAACCCTAAACGGCATCTGCTGAGCTGCTCGGATCGGAGGCCTTGCCCCCTGGACTTGCCGTTACCTGCTGCTGTGTTACTCTGGCCTCTTCCGCCTTCGCTTGGTTGCTCCACGCTCGTCCATACCTCTGAAGGAAGGAGAACAACGAAAAAAAGCAGGCTGGACCCCTAGGTCCTCATTCGCATCAACGCCGGATGCTTGTTACAAGGCAGGAACCGATGGAAATGAACCGGCTGGCAGGCAGTTAGTAGGAGAAACAGGAACGAAGCGACGAGAAAACGACATCTGGAAACTTAAATGCTAGTTACACGCACTTGGTAGTCACTGTAGTCGTCCCTGTACCGACTCCCATACGCGGAAGCCGCAGTGGCAGCTGCAAGCAGCGCAACCGCCGTCACAACCAGCCTTGCCAGCAGCCCCACCCTCGCCACCATCGCCCCGGCTCAGACGAGAAAGTTACGAAGGAAATTGCAGCGCTTCGGAAGAATTTCGGTAAGGGCAGATTCGAGAGAAACAGTGCATAACTGAAAGGCTCCAGGAACGATTTTCTTAGGCCGTTGTTGTTCCGATTGTTGTGCTATGGAGGTGTAAACGCTCGGCTGCGGCTGACTGAGCAGACTGGCGAGTCCGAATTTACACCTCCGGAAACATGCTGCTGCTAGCGCGCAAAGCTCTCTGTGCGCGCAAAGCGCACGCTCGTGTGCGGGCCCGAACTGGCGCAGCGATTCCGCGGAAAGGCGGAAGATGTTTTCCAGCCGCGGCTTCTGATGGAGCCTACGGCGTGCTCCCCCCACTCTCGCTCGCCCCCTCCCTCTTTCCCCACACCGCCTTCGTCGCTCTCCTTTCCTTCCCCCCTCGCGCTAACAGCCACTCTCCATCCCGGCTCCACCGAAACAAACTGCGCGTGACCTACTATTGCGAGCAGGGATGCTCGGAAGCAGCGAAGAGGCATGGTTGCGAGGAGGGCTGCGCGAGGTTGGGGGAACCGGCTCGTATGCATGGAGAAACGCGCAAGAGGCGGAGGAATCAAGGGAAAGACGAGGCCACGTGGCAGGGAAATGAGCTGAGGGATGGATTTCGTCTAAGGGGTGGATTCTGTTAGACTTCGTTCACTCTTGGTTCAGTGAACTTAAAGCGTAGGCATGACCCATCCGCCCTAATTGACTGACATACGTACCAAACCTGAACTTTTCTGATTGTTTCTTTTATCCATCACCCTGATTCTATCGCGTATGATCCCAGCCAGTCCATCCTGGAGCTGCCCGAGAAGCGTCCGTTCCCACTGGAGAGTGGAATGGACGTTTTTCTTGTGAGTTCTGCCACGCACTCCATTCGGTACTAGCATCCGCGTGAGCCTCCTAGTCACGGCCCACAAAGGTAATGCGAGCCTTTCGCTTGCACCGCGTACGACCGCCTCGCTTCGCGGATACCGGCGCTTCGCAGCAATGCACGAGATTCTTTCGTAACCCGACGACCGTATTGCCGCCTCAACCCACCCGAAACCTCCGAGAACCTTCCGCAACTGACATATTGCCGGCCAGAGGCACATTCCAAGCAGAAAGCACGTCGCGGAGTTACTATCCCGCGAGTAGATATCCGACCGCGATCCCGTCGCACGCACAAGCGAGGTTTGCGACCGTTATCCCGTCGCACACACGCATAAGGGATACATATTTTGAGTCTACTCTAGACTCGTCGCGCGCGCGCACAGGAAATACGTCTACTACGAGCGTCCGCGCGTCCTCGCGTAATCATTTATCCTCCTCTTCTGACGGATCTTCCAACATCTTCGCTTCCAGGTTCAGCGTCAGCCATTTTGAACCGTTCGTTATCCATCCAAACCGTTGTCATCCGACATTTCTTCCCGGAACCGCATCGCCAGCTGGCAGTTTGGAATTGGCCCGAATTCCCCATCGTGTCCAGTCACAGCACACCCATAAGCGGCTAGCAGGTCAAATGGACGGCCAACCGCAACGTCAAGAGCACCGATCTGACGGCCAGCCCAGGGAGGGAGAGGTCAGAAACGGGGACGCGGATCAGACGGCCGGCGAGGTGGCGGATTCGTTACCTCAAGGCACAGAAGCGGAAGCAGGGCCACTTTTAGAGGGGACGGAGCCGAATGGCGCTCATAACGGCAGCAGCAGCTTCGGTTAGTACCGTTACCCATCCCTTTCTCAACCACTTAACCTCTTTCTCTCTCTTAGCTGCTCCTCTCGACCCTCTGTTGCTGTGGCAGCCTTCTTCAGAAACTTCCATATGGGCTGACATGTCACCTTGAGTTACCACGTCACATTGGATTGACATGGCCTTTTTGAATGATATTGATCGTACCTCGTGCTCACATCTCACTAATAACTAGGGGAACCATGAGCCGCATGAGAGACACATGGTCACATGCATGCACTAATGCTGTCTCTTGCTTGCTGTCACATCACATGTATCTCTTCGCCTGTTGGGCACATGCCTTTCATGAGGCGCCGCGCCCTTAAATCAACAACCCCCGCCCTTCTCCCCCTCCTCCTCCCCTCGTTCCTCACCATCATCACAATCTCCCCTCGCATGTACCTCTTTGCCTCCTCTCCTCTCCTGGGCCCATGTGAAGTGAGTGAGTTTTTGAGACATCTCAAATACTCTCCAGGGCACACGCCTTCTACTGTACCCAAGCCGGCTGGAAGCCTGCTTTTCATCCCTCCTATTGTTTCTCTTCTTTTACTTTTCCCCCTCCCCCTTATTCCGTTTGCCAATTCCTCTCTTTCCCCTTCCCCTCAGGCACCATCAACGGCTCTGCCTCCTCTCCCCACCCAACCCCTCCCCTCTCCCTCCTCTCCCTCCTCCTCCTCCGCCTATCCCGCGCCCTCACAACCCTCCCCACGCCCTCCGACCTGCGATTCACGCTGCTCACCATCATCGCCATCTCGCCTCTCATGTACCTCTTCGCCTCCTGGGCTGACGCCTTCTATCTCCCCCAAGCCGGTTTCCCCATCCCCCTCATCCTCTTTGTATTCGTCTTCCCCTCCTTCTGGGAAGAGCTTTTCTGGAGGGTTCTCCTTAACCCGCATCCTGCCGAGCCCCCCTCTCCTCTACCCACATGGCTTCACACTCGCATCACTTCCCTCCTCTCTCGCGCCTCCTCCCTCCTCGCTCCTTTCGTCTCCTCCGTCCCGTTTCTGCGCTCCTTCCCGCTCCCTCGGGATTGGCTCGCGGATCCGAAAGTGTTTTATGGCATTGTTTCAACATCCTTATATGTCTTAGCGCATCCCTTTCTAGCGTGGTTAAACCGACCTGCTGCTTTGAGGTTATTTTCGCATCCGGGGTTTCTGCTCTGCTGTGTCGTGCTCGGGTCGGCGTGTCTTTTTGTGTACCGGAGATCTGGGTCGGCCTGGGCGGCGATCTTGGTGCACTGGATTGCAGTGTCTGTCTGGATGTGCTTGGGAGGGCGACACCAAGCACCCTTTTGAAATGTGTTACAAACTGAGTTATGAATCACATATGAAAACGCCTGTGATATTTGCAGCAGAGGACCTTCCAGGCTTGATGAAGTTTCCTCAGAATACTGTCAATCGATGTATGACAAAAGTACATACAATATATATAAGAACTGATGGTACCGTACCGTATTTTGACGGGAAACCAGCACATCACAGCCCTGCCAGGCTACCTCGCTGATTGAGGCCGGCAAGGCAAACGACCTCAAACCACACATCAAACTGACTATGCAATTTTGATGGTTTTCAACGTTTCCCTTACCCCCCCTCTTCCAATCTGTTCTTCGTCTCAGCCCTCTGCTGCTCCCCTCCTCGACTCCCCCCCCCCCCCCCCCCCCCCCCCCCCGCCTTAGCAGTGATCGGCTCGCCGGCGCCATCCAATCCAACACCTCCCCTAGCTCGCATTTCTCGCTCCCCTCTCGCCCCCTCCGCTGCTCCCAGATCCAAGTCTTGTCTGCTTGGCTTGGCCCCTCTCATCCATTCCACTCTTTTGAGTCGACTCAAAAGTCAACTCGCTTGGCCCCTCTCATCCATTCCACTCTCGCCTCTCATCCATTCCACTCTCGCCTCTCATCCATTCCACTCTCGCCTCTCATCCATTCCACTCTCGCCTCTCTGCCACCTTCTGCAAGTATCATCTCCCCTCATGCACCTATCCTCACTTGCCTTTCTTCCCTTTCTCACCCCCCTCTCGTTCTCTTCGCTCCTCCCGAATCTTCCTCTTCTGCTCTGCCCTCTGCTTCGCCCGTTCCTCAAACCCACTCTCTGAGACCTTCAGTATTGCTGCTCTCCTCGCCTTGAACACCTGGAGAAGGAGAGTAAGGGAAGGGAAAAAAGCAGGAAAAGGAGGGCGATTGCTATTGTGGCAATTTCAGTTCTTGCCAACTTCAGTGGCGCTGCCCTGCGTGCCTTGAGCACCTGGGGAAGGAGAGGAGATAAAGAGGGGGAGAATTTGACACTGCAAAAGAAGGCGAGAGTATTATGGTTAAACATGTACCACCAGAACTGCTGTACGGCACTTGAACAGCTGGAGGGAGAGGTCAACAAGTGACATTAAAAAAAAAAAAAAAAAAAAAAAACGAATGCATTTGTGTTTGGAACATCAACATAAGCAAGAGAAAAGGCACGCAAGCAGGTGCACACAAACAGCCAGGCACACGCAGACAGGCACAATGTAATGGCTCCCTCCCCTTGCCCAGGCCTATAAGAGAAAGCAGCCTCGTGTTCTCTCACAAACAGACAGGCACACGCAGGGAGTAGAGACGATTGACACAATGTAATGGCTCCCTCCCCTTGCCCAGGCCTATAAGAGAAAGCAGCTACACTCCTTTCACTCACCTTGCTGATGCATTTAAGCACATCGCCTTCAGTCACATCAGTGCACTCCGCCAGCTGTCGACCAATGAGCTTCTCAATGCTGTGCACCAGATGCACGTCGTACTGGCATGGGAATGGGAGGAGGAGGGAGGGGGGAGGGGGGAAGGAGGATATAGGGAGGCAGCATGCATGAAGGGGCATGGGACACAAGAGAGGCCGATGAGCTTCTCGATGCTGTGCACCAGATGCACGTCGTACTGCCATGAGGATGAGAGAGAGGGAGGGACGGGCGGACGGAGGCAAGGAGGGATTCGAAAACGAGAAGTGGTAAAAAAGCAGGCACGGTTCAAACGGCCTAATGCTTCTTTTGTGGATGCTGTTGGCCCAACTACCACTTGCAGCTGCCCAACTACCACTTGCAGCTGCCCAACTACCACTTGCAGCTGCCCAACTACCACTTGCAGCTGCCCAACTACCACTTGCAGCTGCCCAACTACCACTTGCAGCTGCCCAACTACCACTTGCAGCTCAATTGTTGCGCACAACAGCATTCACACTCATCTTAGTCGCCGCTCCCACCCAGAAAATACTAACAGCACCCTTGCCATTCGTTATAGTCACACCCACCTGAGTCACCAGGCTGATGGCTCGTCCGCCCCTCCCTGCTCGGGCTGTTCGTCCCACCCGGTGCACATAGTCCCGCGTGAACCTGGAGATGGGGTGGGTTGGTTGGTGGGGTGACAGGGTAGCGTGAGAGGGGTACAGGGTTTCTTTTGGCATCTCCCGAGTCCGCCCCTCCCTGCTCGGGCTGTTCGCCCCACCCGGTGCACACAGTCCCGCGTGAACCTGGAGATGGGCAGATACGATAGGGTGGGCGGTGCAGAGCAGAGTGTTTTCAGGGACCCTAAAAAGGCACTCCCTGCTCGGGCTGTTCGCCCCACCCGGTGCACACAGTCCCGCGTGAACCTGGAGATGGGGTGGGGGGGAGGTGGGACAGGGTAGGGAATGACCGGGTAGGAGCATAGAGGATAGGTTGGGGGATAGGGAGTTTCGTGAAGCATCGCATGAAGACCCTGTGATGTCTCTTGGGAATGTCTCTTGGGCTGTTCACCCCACCCTGTGTACATAGACTGGAGTGAGCCCGCGGGTTGTGTTACACCAACCCCCGGGGGTTGTGTTACAGGGTATTGAATGACCATGTTGGATTGGAGAGGAGATTGACAGACCAAGGCAACTCGGACCAGCACAGTGCTCACCTGGGGATGTCGTAGTTTATCACTAAATCCACTGTCGGAATGTCCAGATCAACAGTGGGAATGTCCAGATCAACAGTGGGAATGTCCAGATCAACAGTGGGAATGTCCAGATCAACAGTGGGAATGTTCAGATCAACAGTGGGAATGTCCAGATCAACAGTGGGAATGTCCAGATCAACAGTGGGAATGTTCAGATCAACAGTGGGAATGTCCAGATCAACAGTGGGAATGTCCAGATCAACAGTGGGAATGTTCAGATCAACAGTGGGAATGTCCAGATCAACAGTGGGAATGTCCAGATCAACAGTGGGAATGTCCAGATCAACAGTGGGAATGTCCAGATCAACAGTGGGAATGTCCAGATCAACAGTGGGAATGTCCAGATCAACAGTGGGAATGTCCAGATCAACAGTGGGAATGTCCAGATCAACAGTGGGAATGTCCAGATCAACAGTGGGAATGTCCAGATCAACAGTGGGAATGTCCAGATCAACAGTGGGAATGTACAGATCAACAGTGGGAATGTCCAGATCAACAGTGGGAATGTCCAGATCAACAGTGGGAATGTCCAGATCAACAGTGGGAATGTACAGATCAACAGTGGGAATGTCCAGATCAACAGTGGGAATGTCCAGATCAACAGTGGGAATGTCCAGATCAACAGTGGGAATGTCCAGATCAACAGTGGGAGTGTCCAGATCAACAGTGGGAATGTCCAGATCAACAGTGGGAATGTCCAGATCAACAGTGGGAATGTCCAGATCAACAGTGGGAATGTACAGATCAACAGTGGGAATGTCCAGATCAACAGTGGGAATGTCCAGATCAACAGTGGGAATGTCCAGATCAACAGTGGGAATGTACAGATCAACAGTGGGAATGTCCAGATCAACAGTGGGAATGTCCAGATCAACAGTGGGAATGTCCAGATCAACAGTGGGAATGTACAGATCAACAGTGGGAATGTCCAGATCAACAGTGGGAATGTCCAGATCAACAGTGGGAATGTCCAGATCAACAGTGGGAATGTTCAGATCAACAGTGGGAATGTCCAGATCAACAGTGGGAATGTCCAGATCAACAGTGGGAATGTCCAGATCAACAGTGGGAATGTCCAGATCAACAGTGGGAATGTACAGATCAACAGTGGGAATGTCCAGATCAACAGTGGGAATGTCCAGATCAACAGTGGGAATGTCCAGATCAACAGTGGGAATGTCCAGATCAACAGTGGGAATGTCCAGATCAACAGTGGGAATGTCCAGATCAACAGTGGGAATGTCCAGATCAACAGTGGGAATGTCCAGATCAACAGTGGGAATGTCCAGATCAACAGTGGGAGTGTCCAGATCAACAGTGGGAATGTCCAGATCAACAGTGGGAATGTCCAGATCAACAGTGGGAGTGTCCAGATCAACAGTGGGAATGTCCAGATCAACAGTGGGAATGTCCAGATCAACAGTGGGAATGTCCAGATCAACAGTGGGAATGTCCAGATCAACAGTGGGAATGTCCAGATCAACAGTGGGAATGTCCAGATCAACAGTGGGAATGTCCAGATCAACAGTGGGAATGTCCAGATCAACAGTGGGAATGTCCAGATCAACAGTGGGAATGTCCAGATCAACAGTGGGAATGTCCAGATCAACAGTGGGAATGTCCAGATCAACAGTGGGAATGTCCAGATCAACAGTGGGAATGTCCAGATCAACAGTGGGAATGTCCAGATCAACAGTGGGAATGTCCAGATCAACAGTGGGAATGTCCAGATCAACAGTGGGAATGTCCAGATCAACAGTGGGAATGTCCAGATCAACAGTGGGAATGTCCAGATCAACAGTGGGAATGTCCAGATCAACAGTGGGAATGTCCAGATCAACAGTGGGAATGTCCAGATCAACAGTGGGAATGTCCAGATCAACAGTGGGAATGTCCAGATCAACAGTGGGAATGTCCAGATCAACAGTGGGAATGTCCAGATCAACAGTGGGAATGTCCAGATCAACAGTGGGAATGTCCAGATCAACAGTGGGAATGTCCAGATCAACAGTGGGAATGTCCAGATCAACAGTGGGAATGTCCAGATCAACAGTGGGAATGTCCAGATCAACAGTGGGAATGTCCAGATCAACAGTGGGAATGTCCAGATCAACAGTGGGAATGTCCAGCCCTCTGCTGGCGACGTCTGTGGCCACCACGATACTGTGATAATACACCAGCAGTGCGCCCATTTTCTCACCTCGGGATGTCGTAGTTGATCACTAAATCCACTGTCGGAATGTCCAGCCCTCTGCTGGCGACGTCTGTGGCCACCAGGATGGGCACTTGGGACGCCTTGAAGCGGTGCATTTCAGAAGCCTCAGAAGCAGGTCGAGTGGCCACCTGAAACCTGGCTAGTGAACGCACCTGGGGATGTCGTAGTTGATCACCAGGTCGACAGTGGGGATATCCAGCCCTCTGCTGGCGACGTCTGTGGCCACCAGGATGGGCACTTGGGACGCCTTGAAGCTGTGCAGAGCGGCTGAGCGCTTGCGCTGGGGCAGCAGGGCGTGGAGAGGCGCGTTGGAGAGACCCACTTCGTCCAGTAATGCACTCACGGCCTGGCATGACCTGACACACAGTGGTTGGGTGGGAGGACATGGAGGGCACTTGAGATGCTTTGCAAGGGTGTAGAGCGGCCGGGCGCTTGCCCTGGGAGAGGAGGGCGTGGAGAGGCGCGTTGGAGAGACCCACTTCGTCCAGTAATGCACTCACGGCCTGGCATGACCTGACACACAGTGGTTGGGTGGGAGGACATGGAGGGCACTTGAGATGCTTTGCAAGGGTGTAGAGCGGCCGGGCGCTTGCCCTGGGAGAGGAGGGCGTGGAGAGGCGCGTTGGAGAGACCAACTTCGTCCAGCAGTGCACTCACGGCCTGGCAGAATCTGGGAGGGGTAAGGGGAAAAGGGAGAGGGGGTTACGGGACAAATGGGGTAGCAGCGCATGGAGAGGCGCGTTGGAAAGACCCACTTCGTCCAGCAGTGCACTGACAGCCTGACAGGCTGACACATGTTGAGTGGGTGAGTGAAGGAGAGAAGAGGTAGAAGCAGAGTGTTGAGGGGCCTTGAAGCAGTGCAGGGCAGACAAGCGCTTGCGTTGAGGGAGCAGGGCGTGGAGAGGCGTGTGAGACAGACCTGCCTCAAGGCGTGTGAGACAGACCTGCCTCATCTAATGACACAACAAGGTGGCACTCGAGGCCTGCTTCATCTAATGACACAACAAGGTGGCACTCGAGGCCTGCTTCATCTAATGGCACAACAAGGTGGCACTCGAGGCCTGCTTCATCTAATGACACAACAAGGTGGCACTCGAGGCCTGCTTCATCTAATGACACAACAAGGTGGCACTCGAGGCCTGCTTCATCTAATGACACAACAAGGTGGCACTCGAGGCCTGCTTCATCTAATGGCACAACAAGGTGGCACTCGAGGCCTGCTTCATCTAATGACACAACAAGGTGGCACTCGAGGCCTGCTTCATCTAATGGCACAACAAGGTGGCACTCGAGGCCTGCTTCATCTAATGACACAACAAGGTGGCACTCGAGGCCTGCTTCATCTAATGGCACAACAAGGTGGCACTCGAGGCCTGCTTCATCTAATGACACAACAAGGTGGCACTCGAGGCCTGCTTCATCTAATGGCACTTCGAGACCTGCTTCATCTAATGGCACTTCGAGACCTGCTTCATCTAATGGCACTTCGAGACCTGCTTCATCTAATGGCACTTGGAGGCCTGCTTCATCTAATGGCACTTGGAGGCCTGCTTCATCTAATGGCACTTGGAGGCCTGCTTCATCTAATGGCACTTGGAGGCCTGCTTCATCTAATGGCACTTGGAGGCCTGCTTCATCTAATGGCACTTGGAGGCCTGCTTCATCTAATGGCACTTGGAGGCCTGCTTCATCTAATGGCACTTCGAGACCTGCTTCATCTAATGGCACTTCGAGACCTGCTTCATCTAATGACACAACAAGGTGGCACTCGAGGCCTGCTTCATCTAATGACACAACAAGGTGGCACTCGAGGCCTGCTTCATCTAATGACACAACAAGGTGGCACTCGAGGCCTGCTTCATCTAATGGCACAACAAGGTGGCACTCGAGGCCTGCTTCATCTAATGACACAACAAGGTGGCACTCGAGGCCTGCTTCATCTAATGGCACAACAAGGTGGCACTCGAGGCCTGCTTCATCTAATGGCACAACAAGGTGGCACTCGAGGCCTGCATCATCTAATGACACAACAAGGTGGCACTCGAGGCCTGCTTCATCTAATGACACAACAAGGTGGCACTCGAGGCCTGCTTCATCTAATGACACAACAAGGTGGCACTCGAGGCCTGCTTCATCTAATGGCACAACAAGGTGGCACTCGAGGCCTGCTTCATCTAATGACACAACAAGGTGGCACTCGAGGCCTGCTTCATCTAATGGCACAACAAGGTGGCACTCGAGGCCTGCTTCATCTAATGACACAACAAGGTGGCACTCGAGGCCTGCTTCATCTAATGGCACAACAAGGTGGCACTCGAGGCCTGCTTCATCTAATGACACAACAAGGTGGCACTCGAGGCGTGCTTCATCTAATGGCACTTCGAGACCTGCTTCATCTAATGGCACTTCGAGACCTGCTTCATCTAATGGCACTTCGAGACCTGCTTCATCTAATGGCACTTGGAGGCCTGCTTCATCTAATGGCACTTGGAGGCCTGCTTCATCTAATGGCACTTGGAGGCCTGCTTCATCTAATGGCACTTGGAGGCCTGCTTCATCTAATGGCACTTGGAGGCCTGCTTCATCTAATGGCACTTGGAGGCCTGCTTCATCTAATGGCACTTGGAGGCCTGCTTCATCTAATGACACTTCGAGACCTGCTTCATCTAATGGCACTTCGAGACCTGCTTCATCTAATGACACAACAAGGTGGCACTCGAGGCCTGCTTCATCTAATGACACAACAAGGTGGCACTCGAGGCCTGCTTCATCTAATGACACAACAAGGTGGCACTCGAGGCCTGCTTCATCTAATGGCACAACAAGGTGGCACTCGAGGCCTGCTTCATCTAATGACACAACAAGGTGGCACTCGAGGCCTGCTTCATCTAATGGCACAACAAGGAGGCATTCGAGGCCTGCTTCATCTAATGGCACAACAAGGTGGCACTCGAGGCCTGCTTCATCTAATGACACAACAAGGTGGCACTCGAGGCCTGCTTCATCTAATGACACAACAAGGTGGCACTCGAGGCCTGCTTCATCTAATGGCACAACAAGGTGGCACTCGAGGCCTGCTTCATCTAATGACACAACAAGGTGGCACTCGAGGCCTGCTTCATCTAATGGCACTTCGAGACCTGCTTCATCTAATGGCACTTCGAGACCTGCTTCATCTAATGGCACTTCGAGACCTGCTTCATCTAATGGCACTTCGAGGCCTGCTTCATCTAATGGCACTTGGAGGCCTGCTTCATCTAATGGCACTTGGAGGCCTGCTTCATCTAATGGCACTTGGAGGCCTGCTTCATCTAATGGCACTTGGAGGCCTGCTTCATCTAATGGCACTTGGAGGCCTGCTTCATCTAATGGCACTTGGAGGCCTGCTTCATCTAATGGCACTTCGAGACCTGCTTCATCTAATGGCACTTCGAGACCTGCTTCATCTAATGGCACTTCGAGACCTGCTTCATCTAATGGCACTTCGAGGCCTGCTTCATCTAATGGCACTTCGAGACCTGCTTCATCTAATGGCACTTCGAGGCCTGCTTCATCTAATGGCACTTCGAGGCCTGCTTCATCTAATGGCACTTCGAGACCTGCTTCATCTAATGGCACTTCGAGGCCTGCTTCATCTAATGGCACTTCGAGGCCTGCTTCATCTAATGGCACTTCGAGACCTGCTTCATCTAATGGCACTTCGAGACCTGCTTCATCTAATGGCACTTCGAGACCTGCCTCATCTAATGGCACTTCGAGACCTGCTTCATCTAATGACACAACAAGGTGGCACTCGAGGCCTGCTTCATCTAATGACACAACAAGGTGGCACTCGAGGCCTGCTTCATCTAATGGCACAACAAGGTGGCACTCGAGGCCTGCTTCATCTAATGACACAACAAGGTGGCACTCGAAGCCTGCTTCATCTAATGGCACAACAAGGAGGCATTCGAGGCCTGCTTCATCTAATGGCACAACAAGGTGGCACTCGAGGCCTGCTTCATCTAATGACACAACAAGGTGGCACTCGAGGCCTGCTTCATCTAATGACACAACAAGGTGGCACTCGAGGCCTGCTTCATCTAATGGCACAACAAGGTGGCACTCGAGGCCTGCTTCATCTAATGACACAACAAGGTGGCACTCGAGGCCTGCTTCATCTAATGGCACAACAAGGTGGCACTCGAGGCCTGCTTCATCTAATGACACAACAAGGTGGCACTCGAGGCCTGCTTCATCTAATGGCACTTCGAGACCTGCTTCATCTAATGGCACTTCGAGACCTGCTTCATCTTATGGCACTTCGAGACCTGCTTCATCTAATGGCACTTCGAGACCTGCTTCATCTAATGGCACTTGGAGGCCTTCTTCATCTAATGGCACTTGGAGGCCTGCTTCATCTAATGGCACTTGGAGGCCTGCTTCATCTAATGGCACTTGGAGGCCTGCTTCATCTAATGGCACTTGGAGGCCTGCTTCATCTAATGGCACTTGGAGGCCTGCTTCATCTAATGGCACTTCGAGACCTGCTTCATCTAATGGCACTTCGAGACCTGCTTCATCTAATGGCACTTCAAGACCTGCTTCATCTAATGGCACTTCGAGACCTGCTTCATCTAATGGCACTTGGAGGCCTGCTTCATCTAATGGCACTTCGAGGCCTGCTTCATCTAATGGCACTTCGAGGCCTGCTTCATCTAATGGCACTTCGAGGCCTGCTTCATCTAATGGCACTTCGAGGCCTGCTTCATCTAATGGCACTTCGAGGCCTGCTTCATCTAATGGCACTTCGAGACCTGCTTCATCTAATGGCACTTGGAGGCCTGCTTCATCTAATGGCACTTCGAGACCTGCTTCATCTAATGGCACTTGGAGGCCTGCTTCATCTAATGGCACTTCGAGGCCTGCTTCATCTAATGGCACTTCGAGACCTGCTTCATCTAATGGCACTTCGAGACCTGCTTCATCTAATGGCACTTCGAGGCCTGCTTCATCTAATGGCACTTCGAGGCCTGCTTCATCTAATGGCACTTTGAGGCCTGCTTCATCTACTGGCACTTCGAGGCCTGCTTCATCTAATGGCACTTCGAGGCCTGCTTCATCTAATGGCACTTCGAGACCTGCTTCATCTAATGGCACTTCGAGGCCTGCTTCATCTAATGGCACTTCGAGGCCTGCTTCATCTAATGGCACTTCGAGGCCTGCTTCATCTAATGGCACTTCGAGGCCTGCTTCATCTAATGGCACTTCGAAGCCTGCTTCATCTAATGGCACTTCGAGGCCTGCTTCATCTAATGGCACTTCGAGACCTGCTTCATCTAATGGCACTTCGAGGCCTGCTTCATCTAATGGCACTTCGAGGCCTGCTTCATCTAATGGCACTTCGAGACCTGCTTCATCTAATGGCACTTCGAGGCCTGCTTCATCTAATGGCACTTCGAGGCCTGCTTCATCTAATGGCACTTCGAGACCTGCTTCATCTAATGGCACTTCGAGACCTGCTTCATCTAATGGCACTTCGAGACCTGCTTCATCTAATGGCACTTCAAGACCTGCTTCATCTAATGACACAACAAGGTGGCACTCGAGGCCTGCTTCATCTAATGACACAACAAGGTGGCACTCGAGGCCTGCTTCATCTAATGACACAACAAGGTGGCACTCGAGGCCTGCTTCATCTAATGGCACAACAAGGTGGCACTCGAGGCCTGCTTCATCTAATGACACAACAAGGTGGCACTCGAGGCCTGCTTCATCTAATGGCACAACAAGGAGGCATTCGAGGCCTGCTTCATCTAATGGCACAACAAGGTGGCACTCGAGGCCTGTTTCATCTAATGACACAACAAGGTGGCACTCGAGGCCTGCTTCATCTAATGACACAACAAGGTGGCACTCGAGGCCTGCTTCATCTAATGGCACAACAAGGTGGCACTCGAGGCCTGCTTCATCT